ACCTACAGTAATGTCAACATTTTTTTTACTATGACATATTGCATTTTTAGGATTTTTGATTCTACTTAATATTGAATCATTTATTTGATTTTCATCAATCTTAAAGATAAAGCTTTTGTTTGTTTTAATCAGCAACCTTTACTGAAAAAAGGAGAAGGGCATGGATATCATGTTAGTGATTTTCTTTGTGAGTCAATTGGATGGCTAAAACTTTCACCAGAAGTTAAGGAAAGAATTAATGATGAAAAGTTTCCAACTGAAGCTCATGATTTTTTGTCAATTGGAAAACAGCATGAAGGATATTGGAATATTCAAAAATTAGCTGAACAGGTGAAGTATTGTGTAATTAATATTATTGAATTTTTTACTAATGAGCTTTTATTTTTACAAAAGATAATCCAAAAAGCCATACCAATTTTTGAAACAATGCATCCAGGTTGTGTTGGAATATTTTTGCTGAACTTATTTATTAAAATAAAAACAAAGCAAATGTTTAAATTTATTTTTTATGATAAAGAAGGTAACGCAAGCAATTTCTTCCAGTGAAAAGTTTTTCCAATCAAAACTTTGTGGCACATCACGCGAGATATTGCTAAAAAATTTTTGACAGATTACTACTAGTATAACGGGATTCATTATAACAGGACAAATTTATATTTATAAACAAAAAAATCATTACAATGAGATTGTCATATAATGAGCTGTCGTCATAACGGGAGTGCTTTGTACACACATATATATAATAAAACTTTTTCTTCTTTTTTTCTTTTTTTATCATTTACTTATTTCTGAAAGTAGTTTTACCAAAGGTCCTTTTACACCTTTCTTCAGTTGAAAGTAACAACGAGGACATTTGACAATGATATTGCTCTTTTTTAATATAATAATGGTCTTTTTTTAGTCATGAAAAAAGAAATTAAAAATCCCTAAATTTTCAAAAATTACTATTGGCCAATTGCGAAAATCCATCACTGCTTTTTTTATTATAACAAGTAAACCTTATTACACTAAATCAGGAAGATCCAAATCCTCCCTATAGCTAATTGTGGCTTCATAGAAAG